CAGTCTCACAATATAATTTTAATGAATAAGGAAAGAAAGAGTTTTCTTGAATTGGAAGTTACTCCTTATGAAGATGCTGTGAATATTGTTGAAAGAACAGCAGAGGATTTAGGACATTATATAAACTTATTTCACAAAGCAGTGAAAATGTTTCAGAAAATCGACTCCAATTTTGAAAAAGTTTCTACTTTGAGTTAAATACCACAGTATAAATTTCAAGATTGCAGCCTTCAGAGAAAATTTTCATGAAGAAAAGAATCAATCAATGTGGTAAATTGCATTGTTGTTCTGTTTTAAGAAATTGTCACAGTCACCTCAAGTTTTCACAACTACCTGCTTGATCAAGTCAGCAACTGCAAATGCTAAGACAAGATTTCTCACTACCAAAAAGAGTATGACATTCTGAAGGCTCAGATAATCTTCAGCATATTTTAGCAATTAAGTATTTTTATTTAGTTATATACTTTTGTTAGATATAATGCTTTCACACTTAATAGACTATAATATAGTGTAAACATAACTTTTAAAAATTATTTTATATTTTAATTCAAATATTAAAGGGGTACAGTTTTTTTCATATATAGCTTTTATAATGCTTTAGTTAGGGCTATAAATGTGTCCTTCAACCAAGCAGTGCTCATTGTACCTGTTAGGTGAATTTTTACCCTTCCCCTCCTCCACCATCCTACCTTCTTGATTTACAGTGGTTTATACTTCTTTCTGTGTCTTGGTATGCTCATCAATTAGTTCCAAATTATTAGAGAGTAAATGTGGTGTTTGTTTTTCCATTCTTTAGATACTTCACAGTTTCATTCAAAGTGTTTCAAAAGACATTAATTTATCCTTTTATGGCTAATTAGTACTCCATGGCATATGTATGCATATACCACATTTTGATAATCCATTTATGAATTAATGGGCACTGGGTTGATTCCACATGTTTGTGATTGTCAAATATGCTGGAATAAATCTTTGAGTGTAGGTGTCCTTATTTTTTTTTAAGAGACAAAGTCTCATTTTATGGCCCTTTGTAGAGTGCTTTGGCACCACACCTCATAGCAACCTCCAACTCCTGGGCTTAGGCGATTCTCTTGCCTTAGCTTCCTAAGTGGCTTGGACTACAGGTGCCCACCACAATGTCTGGCTATTTTTAATTTGCAGTTTGGCTGGGGCTGCATTCAAACCCACAATCCTCAGTATATGGGGCCAGACCCCTACACACTGAGCCACAGGCGCCACCCCCAAGGTGCTTTTTTTTGTTTGTTTGTTTGGGATTCATTGCAGGGTACAAAGAATTAGGTTACACTGATTGTGGTTGTTAGGTAAAGTCCTTCTTGTAATTGTGTCCCACCCCTAAGAGGTGTGCCATACATCATGACCCCTGTGTCCCCCTCTTCTCCCCTCTCCCTTATCCCTCACTCATGTTTTTGTTCTTTCCTTAAATGAGGTTATTTGCTTTTTCTTGCTGATTTTCTGAAGTTCTTTGTAAATTATGAATATTATCTCCATACCATATGTATAGTTTATGAATATTTTCTCATATTCTGTGGGTTTTCTATTTGCCTATTTGCTATGTTGATTATTTACATGGTTCTGCAGAAATTGCTTAATTTAAAATTATTCCATTTATTTATTTTTGTTGTTTTTAATTGTCATTGGTGCTAGAAGCAGAAAGAATAGTAATAGTAATAGCGAAGCACCTGGAACAGAATTAAGATAGTGTGATTGAGTAACAGAAAAAAGTCAACATTCTGGAGTTCAATTAGATAAGTGTTAAATATGAATATGACATACCTCTCACATATTTATGCTGAGATGTGTATTAGAAAGTTGCATATGCAAAGATAAGTATACCTAAATATGTTGAATCAAGTAGAGGTTTGACTTTATATAGAACAAAAAATAGTAGGGAGAATACATGTTTATAGATGCTGGAAGACTGGCAGGATTGAAGGCATGGAAGTGAGGTCGTTCTCTGATTACATCCGTTATTCATGAACTGTGCACTGAGGTTATTAGGTAAGGTTGGAGTAAAATGTAAGGAGAGATAGACTGTAAAGCAGACAACTTATACAAGGGAAAAGTGAATATATTGGGGAAATATAATCATCTGACAATATTCTATGCCTTTTTATAACTTATAATTATAAATTTGAAGTGAGTGATGACAATCATATAATTTCCCTATCAATATTGAAGTTCATGTTAAATGTATAAAGGTTATGCTAGGAATAATAGAGCTATCTAAACAAGCAAAATCTAAGAAATGAAAAAGTGTAAAGCGATGCTACAAGTGATGTTGTATTAATTTAGACTTTCAACTATCAAGTAATAGAAACTTATATGTAGACATCCACCAATATGGCATTAAGATTTCACTGATAGGATGGTGCCTGTGGCTCAAAATAATAGGGTACTGGCCCTATATGCCAAAGGTGGTGGGTTCAAACCCAACCCTGGTCAAAAACTGAAAAAAAAAAAAAAAGATTTCACTGATAGATTGTAGCAAATCCACTTTAATATCAAAACCTTTTCCTCTCCATATGCCTTTCTGTTGGATCCCCAAACTTGTTCCCATTCCCCAGTTTGTACTTGTTGTATGCTCCATTTTGATATAACCATACTAAAGGTTCCAGCCCAAGGCCTTCCACATTTAAACATCCAGAAAACTTTGGTGCCAGGTTCTTTGGCTACATATACTTCCTCTACATAATGTGAAAAAATAAAAACCCTATGTATTTCTTGTCAGTCAATTAATATGTACTAATTTCTTCCCTGACCACATTTTCTTAATGAACAAAGACGGATTAGCACCACTGTCACTATGATCATACACCAAATAAATTAGACATTTACAAGTAGCATGGAAAAAAAAGATTGCAAACGTCTGCACTGAGCAGCACAATATCATAGACTGTTTTCACAGCAAAAGTGGATGCACCAGATGGTGGAAGAAAATGAGTTTTTAATCCACCTCGTTCCACATGTGTTTCCAAGTATTATACAATCTCTCCAAACCTTATTGGCTAAATATTGTGCCCAATAGCTCACAATATGATACATTTTCTAATGTTGATTCTTTGTGGATTAATGTTCAAAGTCCATAATTTGGACTCTATTATCCACTAATCTTTTTAAGCTTTACACAAGCATGAGAATGAATTTCAACTATGTATTTTATTGCCCCAGTGAAAATGGAAGACAAAAGTAAGAAGGGCTAATTTAGTCTACTTTACTTAAAATATTGACTCTTAGAAAAGATACAGAGTAACTGAAAAATGAAAGCTTTGAAAAGCTTTACTTAATTTAGAGGATGTTTCCAATGGAAGAAGTTTGTAATGTCAGTATTGTGCTGAATAGATTGACAATCTGTGATGAAAAACAGAGACGTATACTATTTGTGTCTCAAAGACACTTAATTGATATTGTACTTGTGCAATGGTATTTCTGAATTTGTGCCACTATTGGGATTAGTTTGATAAACTGTATGGTACACATTGTTATGCTACTTAACCAACTGCTACATCTCAGTGAATTAACACTATAAAGGCATTTTCTCATTTATGAAAATCAGCTATAGATCCATTTATCTCTATCAAATACTTGTCTTCTACGTAGGGATTAAAAAATCTAGTATGTGGGTGGCTTTAATACTCTGTAGCTGTGGTTGCACTAGGTGAAATATACAATCTCTTTGATTGTAGAAGCATGAAAAAGAAAACACAAAGAAGAGCATTTGACTTTGAAATATTCCACACAAAAGTGTGGTACAGGCTTGGCTCCCGTGCTTACCTACGGCGCCAGCCCCATACACCAAGGGTGGAGTGTTTGAACTCAGCCCAGGCCAGCTAAAACAACAACAGCAACAACAACAAAAAAATAGCTGGGCATTGTGGCAGGTGCCTGTAGTTTCAGCTACTTGGGAGGCTGAGGCAAGAGAATAGCTTAAGCCCAAGAGTTGGAGGTTGCTGTGAGCTGTGATGCCACAGGTCTCTACCAAGGGTGACATAGTGAGACTCTGTCTCAAAAACTTAAAAAAGTGAAGTACAACATTCTTTCTCATAAACCAAGCAACATACTTGATCATTTCTAACTTTAAAGAGAGAAGGGGGAAATGAATGCAGTCCTATTATCTTCCTGAATAGAGAAAAGAGCCAGAAAAGTTGACAAACCTGAGTGAAGTTTATAATATTCCTTCAGGGTACTGGGTTTTGAAATGTGGTGCACATTACGGAAATAGAGTTTTACCGCAGGAATTAAGTGTCATGCTACATATTTGTCAAATGTATAGGGTTAATAGTCAAGGCAGATCTACCTTTAGTCAATATTTGCTGTTAGCTTATTATGTGTAATTCAAGAGCCACCAAAGGACTCCCTTACTACCAGTATCTTCTGACTTAATGAAAAAATATTCCTTCTAGACATATTACTTTGGCTATATATTATCTCTTTCACTATCTTTATTATTACTGTTTTTTTTACCATGCTTTACTTCACAACTTCACACACACACACACACACACGTATAACCTCATATTAGTAATATGAGTCATATATTATTTCTGTTTTGTTAATGAGAAAATTGAAAGTTACAGAAGTAAAGTGATTTATTGAAGATTTCAGAGCTAGGAAGTGGTAGATCTATGAATTCAAGTGAGTTTCATCTGATTAAAAAAACCATAAAAATCAATAACTGAAATAAATTCAAATGTATTTTCTAAGTAAGGTAAAATATTAAATAACATACAAAGAAAAATCTTAATTCAAATTACTGGGGTTGTTTTTAACAAAATGACTATTTTTGGAAAGTAACCTATTGGTGTAACCGAAGTGCTGAATATTCTTGTTTCTTTTTTAAAGGTTTAGAGTAGTGGTTCTTACACCTTTTGGTTCCAGGACTTACTACAAATTATTAGAGACTCTAAAGTCTTTTACAACTGTTCTTCATCTGTACTGACATTTACTATAGCTATTCAAATATATTTTTTCTTTTTTTTTCATGTCAGAAGGGTAATATGTCAATATAGTAACAAGATTTGAGAGAGGTACATTTCACACAGTCATGTGAACACCCAATCATCATTCCTATGAACTACAAAAAGATCTAAAAACATAATTTTAAAATATTTATTTAATTAAATACCAATACATAAATACTTAATTATTATGAAAACAATTATATTTACAAATGGTACAAAGAGTTAAAAACTTTAAATACATGTTGTGGATTTTCTTAATGTATAGTTTAATAGTTAGATTATCATATATGCATTACACTTAGTCAATTAACATATATTGTTTGGTTGACTTATATGAAGATATTTTAGTCTCAAAATATATGTAGTTGGGAAATAGAAAACTTAACGGATGCCTTCAAAGGCATTTTAAACCACAAATGAAGAGCTCTTGGTCTATGGAACTGGTTGAAGGAAGCACTTTGGTCAATGGAATAAACATCAAACCAAGTATTAATAAACTACAATATGTAGAATAATTCCATATAATTTTTTTCTCTCTTTCTGAGTCCATGAAAGATCTATGAGATTTGCTATGGCTAGTAAAATGTGATTAGAAGATAATAAGCCCCATTTTTGTAAAGAACTAGAGCATTTTAAGAGTCAGTTCAACAATAAAATTAATGATACCACTCACACATGGTTACTGCTATTATAACATAAAATTAATAAAACTATTACTTTGAAGAACAGGAACAAAAGATAGTATATTATAATTCACTTTAAACTTTACTGTATCATAGATAAAGAATTATTTCCTAAAATAGTAGACACCTGTTAATTTGTGAGCTTTCAAAATAATTTTCACTTTTGAATGAGTATCTGTGCTTATGCTAAATTGTCCATGCAGTCCAGAATTACTGGTATATTCTACTTTTCACAAAGTGTAATCTTATTGCAATAAATTTATTTATTAAATACATAATGTAGTGCAATTTAATCTTTGTATATTTGTAATTTTTAATAATATAAAAGTAAGAAGGAATCACACTCCTTGTGAGATAATTCTAAGTTTCTGATTTAAAATATATAGCCACCATACCATATAATATTTCTATATGCAATTAAGTGTATGAACCACTTTAACCAATAAAAATGGTAATTTTATATAATTCACCCTAATATTGATTAAATAAAAAATAGCAATTTCATACTACATACTTGTCATTTAAAAATAAATTGGCTCTTAAGTAAAAGTTAGAAATTTGGAATTTTTCTCTCTGAACACATATTTCTATTCTAACCACTTCATAATATCTTATACTAATGAATATTTTCACTTGAAAATCTTATATTGATTTCTATATCATATTTCTCTAACAAAATATATATGCATGTATAAGGAAATTACTAATTATCAATCCTGCTTCTACTTTTAAAACATTTTAATTGTCGATTTTGTCAGCATAAACTTTTCTGAAAATTTTTAGATGGTGAATGGTAGGAGAGACATACAATCTACGTCTACTTCAGCCTCCAATGGACTTTAAAATAGTGATACAGGGTAAGAAATACATTTTTTTGTTAATAACCATGAAGTTTAAAAAAAATTTTTTTAAAAGTCATAAAAGTAGGGAGTTACCTAGTGGAGCCATAATAACTCATAGTTCATTTGCATTTTCATTATCTTCTTTATTGGTATATTTTTGAAAAATGCCATGCAGTCATCTTATGTTATCTACAGTAATTGATTTGTGTTTTAAAATATCATTAAGACTATTGAATAGATAATGTGAATTTCTTAAAATCATATTTTGTGTCTATCTTTAGTGCTGGAAATGATTGAACTTGTGGCAACGTGAATGTAAGAAAAAGTCTATTGTTTTAAATAAGCATTTATCTCCTCAGTAGATTTGTTATATCCTGGAATAGAGAAATAGGTAGTTAATGGTTGCACAGCCTTGTGAATGTGCTTGATGCTGAATTACATAGTATAAATAGTTAAAGTAGTAAATTTTATGTTACAGGTGTTTTCATAATTGAAAAGAATAGAGTTCTTGGACATCCTATTATTTGTGTGACTATTATTTAAAGGTAAGCCATATTAATAAGTGCACTAATATGCGTTTGGAGAGAGATTTATAGTGAGACAGTACAGTGCTTTATTCTAAAATGTGTTGCATTCCACATTGTCGCTAATTACTTAGGTAAAGGTCCTGAACATTACCAATGACATATGGAGCAAAAGTGAATATTTTGCATGTTATAATCATGGCTCACATTTATCTTGTTAGGATAAAGTAACTCTGAGAAGATTAAATTCATCAGAGATTCAACAATAAACTTTTCAAGTTTATAATCATGGAAACTTAAAAATACTTAGATATTTAAGTCAATAAGAATTTAAAATTAGTATCAGAGTAAACAAAAAAAGCATAAACACCATTAGTTAGAAGATAAGAGAGTTATTCTATAAGTTCTCATCATACAATTGTGGCAGGCATTGGCAGGGAAAGTTAAAAATGCCAGTGATAATAGTAAAGGAGTCACAATTACAGAAGCCAGAAAAGTAAAGTCCCCAATATGGGAATATGTTGCCTCTTTTATGAACAATGTTTATCAATAGGACAAGCACTCAAAAAGAACAGCTAAGCATAGATCAGAGTAAAGCAAGGACAAATTGGAACACACTGACATTTCTGTGTTTTTCACCATGCCTTGCAATGCCTATCTTCAGAGAATACCAGCAGATGGTTTTCCTCTGCTTCCTAAATCCTGTGAAAATTTCATTGTTGCTAAAAAATAATAGAGAAACATCTGTTTGAAACTACATATTTTCCAACAATTCACTGATGCTCTGTTCAGTATTGGTGTCATACATTATGTTCTCCGTTGAAAAATATCTACTGACTTGACTTCAAGTTCACTGATAGTTTTCTTCTGTGGTATTCAGTCTGCTATTGATTTGATCAGAAGAAATTTTCACTACAGATACTGCATTTTATAGTTTTAGAATCCACATTTTTTAAGTTTTATAGTTTATGACTCCTAGACTATTCCATAACTGCATATATTCTATTCATCTCTTACTCTGAAGTTAATACTGTGTTTTTATGTTTCTATTGCCCTTATATGCCAATTCCAATAGTGGTGGCAGATGTAATTCTTCCTTATATTTTTATTTTTTAATTATTATGGCTATATAGGAGTTGTACATAATTATTAGTCATATTTCATATTTTGATACAAGCATACAATGTGTGATAATGGGGGCCATAAAGAAAAGACAGTAGATGGTTTTGCTTTTAACACTTATTTTTCTGTTTCCATGGTTCAAAGTTATTTATTTATTTGTTTGTTTGTTTCTTTATTTTCTGGAGACAGAGTCTCACTTTGTTGCCCTTGGTAGAGTGGTGTGGCATCATAGCCCACTGAAACCTCAAAATTTTGGGCTCTAGTGATTCTCTTCTCTCAGCCTCTCAAGTAGCTAGGACTACAGGCTCTAGCCACAACACCCAGCTATTTTTAGAGATGAGGTCTTGTGCTGGCTTATACTGGTCTCATGCATATTTATTATATATGTCTCAAGTTTTGATCCTATTCTATAAATTGATTATTGAACAATACAAAAACTGAAGTATAATGTTTTTTGTTTATGCTTTTTGCTTTGTGATCCTGAAAATACAAACTATTGCATCTATCAAGTAACTAAGATAAGGAAATGATCAATTTCATTCTGACAAATGATATTCTAAATACTGTCTAGGCTACCATTTTATTTTATTTTATTTTATTGAGACAGAGTCTCATTTTGTTGACCTCGGTAGAGTGCTATGGCGTCACAACTCACAGCAACCTCCAACTCTTGGGCTTAAGCATTTCTCTTGCCTCATCCTCTCAAGTAGCTGGGACTACAAGCACCTGTCACAATGCCTGGCTATTTTTTAGTTGCAGTTGTCATTGTTTAGTAGGGTCAGGCTGGATTCAAACCTACCAGCTCCAGTGTATGTGGCTGGCACCTTTAGCCACTGAACTATAAGAGCCGAGCCTAGGCCACCATTTTAACTATACTGTGTTCCCTTTTATTTTTCAATTAGATTTCTAGTTTTCCCATTAGCCTGAAATCAAACTCACAAGTCCCACATCTTGTTGATGTATTTGATCTGGTTTTTGAGACTGTATAATATCCAGATTTGATGTTAGTTATTTTAGGCTCAAATTTAGATTAATCTCTGCTAAGATCCTGAGATATAAATATAGACAGAGTGTTCAATTCTATCAGCTCTTTATCTGGTTTCAAGTTTTACTTCCACTGCCAATTACTCAGCAAAATTTCCAGTGTGGCGTGGAGGATGGTCGGACCACCATGATGAGCAATTTATTTTTGTGTTTGATCACCTTTTTTAATTCTGATCTATTACATCAGAAATTTTAAACTCCAGTTTCTCCTCTACCCTGCCATGTGTTTTTTATATTAATATGTAGTACCAACCATCACCGCCCTTAGTCATATATTAAATTTAGACTATTATCTGAATATTTGAAAGAGGACACTATTTTTTTCTCCCTGAAATATCTCAGACCTTTCTGTGGTTTAATTTATATCTTTGCATATATTGTTCTTTGATAGATTTGAAGAAATTATAATTAATATCTTATACTTTAATTTTTGTTTTCACCATGGCTATGAGTCAATTTGGGATCTTTTTACAAAGTAAACCAAAATGGAACTATATATTACCAATTCAAATTATTCTATAGAATCCATGAGATATTTACACATAAAATTTAAATGTATACTAAAATAATATTACAATACAATAAAGTAAAAATGCAAAGACATATGATCATCAATTATAATATAATTTATTACACTACAAATATATTATCATATGACCACATTACTAACAGCTATTTGAAAAACAACTTCCTGACATTTTTAATTAAACACTATGCAATAAACAGAAAATATTTAAAATGGTAAGTGTTACACATCAAAAAAATAAACAAGTCAACATTATTCCACAAATTGAATTTCTGATGTCATTTATATAAAAAATCAAGAACTTAGACTTGCCTACTATAATCAATATTATTCAACATTAATGTGGAAGAACTTACAAATTAAATAATAAAATATAACTAAACA